CACACTTCTTAGTCCGATATTTTTGAAATGTCCTTACCATTTGAACTCCTTGAAGGTAATTTTTCTTGACTTTTATTGAGAGTATTCATAGGTAATTTCAGTTATCTATGATGTAATTAACTATAGGGGCTTGCCCTTATAGGAAGCTTTTCCCGAACCCAGCATAATATAAACCCTATTTAATTCCTTATATTAAATAGGGGGATTTGTCGGCCAATACATTGATTTCGCAGACCAAACGGATGTCATAACTTTCTTTAGTTTATTTGATCGAGTCTCACCCTCAATTCTTGTGTTCATCCTTCGGGATAGATACAGGATTTGAGGTAAAACGCTCTTTCATCTAAACTATGAAAATTATGGGGTCAGTTTGACTTCATCTTTTTCAAAATTAAAATTTTTTTAAAATGTCCTTCCGAAGCGGGCAACGGGATTTCAATTCCGATGACCGACAGCTTCTTACGGGCAAACCCCACACCAAAAATAATGCCGACAGCTTCTAATAGAACAAAGTTGTTATTTTGTTTGCCGAAAAAGTAATGTTGTGAGAAAATAATATATTGTAATTAAAAATTATTTATTTGAAATAATTTAACGGTATTTGGTTATGTGCAAATAAAAGAAAGAAGAGATTTTTTTTTTATATATACATGGCATGATGTAAAATAAAATTGGTGGCCAGAGACAAGTTAGTGGGTGACTGTGACAGGCTGTGGTCAACAACTAATCTAACAAATTTTGTTGTAAATCTGAAAATTGATTCATTTCCAAATACATTAAATTTGAAGTGAATGGCAAATTCTGAATGAATTAATGGTATGAGCTGCAATCTGTTTTTATGCAACCAAACATTAAAATTTGGAAACCCCCTATATTTGCTTTACATTACACTGGCAATGAGACATTTAAACAACTGATAAGTGAATTATGTGACTAGGAAATGATGGCTAATCAACAAAGGTGTGGTAGATAAATTTTTGTGATAGGATATCTTGAGTTGATTAATTCTTAAGGATTACTAGTTTATTATCACTAAATTATAATTATTTGCTTATTCTTATTAATCTAGTAGATGAAATAATCACCTCAGGGTATCTTTTTTTTTTAATTTTTGCTAAAGAAGATTAGTCGGATATTCTTTTGACCTTGTGTGTTGCTTTTGTCCTACTAGATTGTGATATTATCAAATTAGATAAATTGAATTAGTTTGAATTTTTTTTTTGCAATTCTTTAACAATTAAAATGATCAAAGTCAAATAGCTAATGGGCAGAATCCGAGAACCATGAGATTTGATTTTCTTGTTTTATTGACAATTTTTACCAAGACAAGCTTTTCATTTCCTTTTTTTTTCCTTTTGTTAGCGTGATACATTTGAAATGAACATTTTCTAATGAAATGGTTTTAAAATGAAAAGAAATTGAATTTTTCTTGACTCAATACTATAAAAACTTCCGTTTCACATGAGGAAATATTGGCCATTAATTATTTTTATGAAAATTTGATAAAAGGTCGTTAACCCAGAGCTAAACTATTAAGTAAAAGAGCTTCACCAAACCACAAACTCACCGTTACAAAGCAATCAATCTGCTAATAGGATGTTGTTAATTTTGAGATCTTTAGTTCACTATTTACCACCATTAGGAATTTCAATCCTCTTTACCTAAAAAGAAGAATATAAAATAAGAAAAAGCTCTAAAGAATTTAGTTGAACTAATTTATCATTTAAATGTTAGGAAATCCATGATAACATTGAAAATAACAAGAATAAAAACTAGACAATTGATCTATACTACGTGAAAATGATCTATGCATATATTTCATATAAGTTTTATAATAAAAAACATATATAGTTATCAATATTACTACACATCTAAAATTTCACTTGAGATTACACAAACCACAAATCTTAAAGCATTTTTTGAACTCTAATCTCGACAAATTTAACATTTCATAGAGATAAATCTAATGAAAAAAATGTGATGAAATCTATATTTAAATAAATCCTAACCAAGAACTTGAATTAAATAGTTGAAAAATATAAAAAATCTATGGAAGGGATGGGCCAAATAGTTACTAAATATTGCATGATTATAATCATATTAAACATTTTTACTAAAGGAATCCAACGAGTGTGAAATCACTCAATCTCAATGTCATTAGTGTGCTAAAAGATGAATAAATAATTTAAGATCAAAATAAACAATATGGGTCTCTCGTGAAATATGTTGAAAATTTGACTCAAGTTATCAAATTATCATTCTTAGAAATAATAAATAAACCATTCCTTTTTTTACATAAGTGGAAGAGTTAGGACTTGAACTTTTAAATTAAAGAGAACCTGTAGATTGAAAATTTCTAGAACTCTATTCGAACATTTGTTTTGATCGTCATTTTACAACACCTTCACTTGATCGCTATTGACAAACTATTGTTACTTTATTTTCATTGTAGAACCAGCATATTCCTTCTATCATCTCCCATCAACACTCAACTGTCATTGCCAAACTGCCATGACCATCCTTCAATCACTAGAGACCTTACAAATGTGCTCAAATTTTCAATCAAGTCTAATCCAATTTTGGAGAACAAGAGACATTTTTAAACCATGAAAGCCTAAAGAATTATTATAATTAAGTCCAGCGGTTTTTATTTAATATTTTAAAATATAAATTTTGTCATCTTTTGTACTCCTTTCATTAATGTTTATCTGTTTATGTTGTTGAGAATGTGGAGCCCGTCCAGTTCCTTTTTTAGAGATCTCTGCATTTATGGAAGCTACTTGAGCTGATTTATTCAGTTCCTTATTTGATCTTCTTTTTATTTGGAAATATCGAATGTGTATCCTGCTTCTACCTTCAGTTTCACGAAATAAAGGATCGCCTCTTGTCTTTCGCGAATCAGATACTCTCCCGCGCTCTCACTTTCTTGATAAACTTCGCCAATTGAAGCCCGAACAGGAGCTTTAAATTGAGGAAAAAATTTGCGTTTGATAGACGTAGCAGCGCTGCGGTATACTGAGGGTATAAATGAGTTACATCCACGGTATAAGTCCTTGTAACATCCCTGTAACTTACGTGTAACCTCTTAATATATGATAACAGAAGCGCAAAACTTATACTTATTGCAAAACTTATTTTAAGGTACAGATAGGTTACAACAAGTTACAGGGAGGTTACAAGGGGTTATACTGTGGATGTAACCCCCTTGTACCCTCGGTATAAGCCCAATATCGCACGCAACGTTGCGTACGTCTATCGCACGCAAATTTTTTCCTTAAATTGATGCCGGGAGTATCACGTTGAGATCCATCTTCTCCTCTTCACGTTTTACCGTGTACATGTGGCTTACGGGTAAAGCCATGGAAACATAGCAGACTTCCGTTTTTCCTTGGGATTCCTTAGGTTGTTGGCTTCCCGTTGGTTTTAGCTATCTGTTAGAGAGAGAGAGAGAGAGAGAGAGAGAGAGAGAGAGAGAGAGAAATAATTCTTTCTTGTAATCGTCGAGGTGATCAACGAGTATAATTTCTTAGCTAATAAAATCCTCTGCAGTTCCGCGGACTTAGGCAAATTGCCGAACCACATAAATTTATGTATTCTACTGCGTTTTCTAATTCATAATTTTTATCGGTCTGATTTTTTTCCTTTATTACCGTTATTTTTGCACAACATATGTGCAAACTTTTTATGCAAAAATGTGATGCTAAATTTATTATTTGTCGCAAAATTTCTAATATGCAAACGTGATGTTAGCCCTATTCTTTTTGTATAAACTGCAGTTCTATTAATGCTAAGAGAACAGAAGCCTCTCACATAAGATTAAAAGCTGTTAACCAGAACATTTAAAAACCTCATTTTAGTGCAAACACAAGGAAATGAGGATAAGAAAAAAAACATCAGAATGCCACTCTAATACATTCTTCAATACAACTAAACTCGAAACAGCAATCAACAAAAAGAAGAACAGAGAACTCAATAGCATCTAGGTTTCCAAGCAGATAGCCCGATAAAGATTCGTCCTCTCCATCCCAGCAGCAGCCACCGACCGTCTTCATCGACACTGAAATCCTTGTGGTAATGAACTTTCACTCCACACTTCACCATCTTCGTAATCTCTGAGCTGACGGGCAACTGCTCGAACCCTGCCCTCAAACACCTCACTTGCGCTTGCTTATATGTCTCCGGCCTTTCCAACCTTTCTGCTCCCTCACAAGAGATCACATTAATCGCACACTTCCCATACAGATCCCTCTCAACAAGCATCCTCTGCTCGTGCTCTCTCGGCACCGTCATCTCCAACATATCAAACAATGCAGAGAAATGGTACAAAGCCTCCCGAAATCTCGTCAGGAAAAATGGAGCTCCATAGCTCCCATTTGAAGTCACATTTACGAACAAAGCCGGGTTGAGTTTTCTTATGTTGTTTAAGAACCTATCCCTGGGGCAATCTACGTCCATGGTTTCATCGCCCAAAGAAGTTATACGGAACACACAATTGACGATTAGCACCTCCTCTTCCTCCAGGTGAAGGTCTTCAACATTCACCTCATCAAGCTTTGACGCCACCACTTGGTATTCAAATGGGATGCCGAATCTCTCGGCATAGTGATATAGTCGGTGACCTGTCTCTTCTATTCTTTCTGACGGTCGGAATCCGGGCTGGGGAACATCAATTCCGGTTATGCGAAGCTTCGGAGGTCCACCGGGCAGGGCCGAAAGCATCTTCAAGAAAGGAGGCCACTGGAAGCCGAAATAGATGCCGTAGTCCAGAATGTGGACTCTGGTTGCGTTCCCGATTGTGTTGAGGATCGTCTGGTTTGAAAAGTGATAGGAGACCATCTTCAATGGGCTGGCGGCTAGGTAAACCTGGTAAGCTTTCAGCACATCGGAAGCAGTCTTCCGCTTAGCAACTAAGGCGTTGTAGATGACACTCCCTGTTCCAGCCAAGCGGGCTTCAAGCCCATCGGCGAAGTAGTGTGCCAATCTCTGCCAAGCGTCGCCGTGAGGGGACGAATGCTGCCGGATTTGTCGGAGCGATTCGTGGGCTCTTTGGTGGTCGCCGGTTGCTACAGTCTGCGCACACTGCATCAAAATAGTTTGGAGATCTACAACCTCCTTCTTCGGTTGCTTCTTTTTTACGCGAGACTTCCGGCCTTTTCCTGGCTCTTTAAGCTCAGTGATTGCTGGGGAGTTTTTGCTTGCTGCTTCGTTCTGCATTGCTTCTCGAATGGTGGATATAACTTTGGGCAACTTTTCGTCGCTGCAGAGGAGAACCATGTCGAACATCTCGGAGGAGACAGTTGGTTCTTCATATGAGATTGCGGATTGTTTGTTACTCCTCTGTTCTTCCAAATCAAAATTAATGTCGTGTCGGCCTTTCTGCCGCCTGCCTCTCGCATCCTCGACCTTGCTTTCAATGGAAGCCAGGTCTTTTAGTTCATGGGGCGAATCATATCCGATTGCTCCTGCATCAACAATCAACTTAGCTTCACTGGGAAGGAACTTCATTGCCTCTTCAACTCCTTTCTCGAACTGAGATGCAGGGAGATTTTTGAAGAACAGATCTGAGAGATCATCTGGATCTCCTTTGAATTGCTCCAGGACACTGGCAACGTCATTCTCAGAGCTGATTGAAGCCTGGGTAGAGAAGATCCGAGAGTGGAAGAGCTCGGTGGTTTCTGGATAGGCAGGATCCTGATTGTTGTCTGGAAAGCCATCGACACCGGTGTGAAAATCGTGGCTCCGATGGTTCTCGGAGCCCTCTGAACTCGGGCTGGAGTAAAGAGGAGGACGATCCGGTGAAGGAGGGTACTTCTCACCGATGATTTCGTAGAAGGGCTTCTCGGTGGCTTCGAGTGCGGGGTTGCTCTCAAGCATATCGAACTTGTCTTCCATGTCCTCCTCCATGAGCATCTGGTGGATGTAGTCCAGGACCAAGCCGGAATAGATTTCCGAGTTTTCATGAGAATCCGCCTCATGACTAACAGGAGAGAAATTTGGGAGCTCAACGAAGAAATCTTGTTCATTAAACAGCGGTGGTTCTCCAAAACTAGGATTCAAAAAGGACTCCTGCTGCGAAAGAACATCGTCCACGGAAAGAAAATCTTTGTATTTGAAATCATCAACGGTTCCATTAATCATCGTATTCTTCATCATTTCTACCTAAAAAAAAAAAGACCAACAAATTTGATATCATCGACATTCTTAAACGCCGTTAATGGAGATAAAAATTCTCGATTTCATCCACGAAACTGGAGGAAAAACTTGAGAAATACGAAACAAAACCGAAACGAAAAGCAGAACTCCATCAATAAGTAGAAGGACATACCTTATCTTGAAGCTATGGACGATGAGGAGAAGAAGATGCAGCAGCAGTTGTTGCTCCTCCATAAATATATAACAAGCAGATAGAAGTTCCAAGACTTTTGACTAAACAATTGAAGGGAAAGGCGCCGCCGTCAGATCTAACGGCCGCCGATCGGCGGGGGGGGGCCCCTCACTAGTGAACACGTGGCTACATATCCGGAGAGGGTAAGTTTGAAACGGCAATGGTGGCGTCACTTCACTGTAACAGCCGGGTCCAATGACTGCCGCTTGACTTCTTGTCATATTTCGTGGTTTAAGGAATGGGTTATGAGAGTTTATTTTATTTAATATTGAACTGGTTTGAAAAATGGCACGTGCTATTTTCTCTCGGAGCCCTTCGAATTTTCGGATTTTGGGAAGTTTGGAATGAGGCCAGCCCAAGACAGTTTTGTTCTTGTCATATTTACTGCAGCTTGCAAAGCTTAAGAAAATAATGTTTTATTGATTTAAAAGAGATTTTTTTTAGAAATTGTTTCCTTTTGTTCATTTTAAGAGCCCAACAATTATACAATTGGTTATCATAATATCTCCATAATATGTGATATAGAATTTAGATTATATAAATTATTGAATCATGATTTGTTTATTAGTTATGTCCAAATCTTAGTAATATGAAGGGAGTGAGAGGGAAATGTGAGAGAGATAGAAAGAGAAATAGAGAGAGAGAGAGAGAGAGAGAGGATGGAGGATGAGAAGATCATCCTCGAGGAAGGTCCTCAAGTGACCTTGAGATTTCCCCCTCCTGGAAAATGTGTTCCCATTCCAATGTTTTGAGAATTTATTTACTGACATTGGGTTGTCATTTTCTTCAGTACAAGATTTGAGAAGGAATAAATAAAAATACATTGAAGTATGCAAAAGTATATAAGGTTGTGTTATGTCTCATAACTAAGCTAGGCCATTCTCTGTAGCTGTAAGAGTATTGGTGTTGGGCTCTTGGAACTTGGCATCGCAACACGGGGCTTGGTCAGCTCATCAGGTTTCCAACTCAGCAACAGGGAGTTGGACAGGTCAACTTGGTTGGGCAAGTCAACAAGTGATAGAGTAATTTGGAAGGCCTACAGAGCAACCAGGCATCTTAATAAAAATATTTGGGAGGTTGACAAAGTAAACTAACAATACAATCTAATAGATCAACATAACAACATGGTAGATTAGTAGGGTGAACATATGGGGTGATCTGACAACTTAACAGAGCAACTTGGCAAATCGATAGAGGAACCTGATAGTGCAATCTGATAAGCTAATTTAGAGGTATACATTTAATTTCATGATTCTCGTATATATTTGAATGTTAACTGCAAAAAGAATAAGAAAATAGAAATTTTTTTTGCTCATTGCTTAATAGAGAGAGATATACCTTATTTGTCTGTATTAGACGAGTTTAAATCACAATTGTGAGCCTAACTACTCGTTTAGCCTATATGAGATTACTTATAATAAGTTTTATTGATATTATATCCCCTTACCACTAAATATTTTATGTTGTATATAGGCATCAGATTTTCTTAGTTCTCAAAGGAGACTTAATAAATGACAATAGTTTTTGTGATACTTAAAAAATGATTTTATCGTAGGTTTCATTTCTTCCAAAAAAGAATTTAAGTAAAGCAGGTTAAGTGAAATTTGATGAGTGTTAACTAGCCATCTATTTGGGGGGTTTTACCTCTTTTATAGGGAATCATCTTGGGGGAATTTTGACAACACATTTAAGATTCTACTCTAGAAGCATTTTGCGCACATTCCTGGAGTTATCCAACAACTTATTAGGTTAACATTATACCAACATTATTTTCAAACATCAACATAAGTAAGAAAATTATATTTCAAGAAAATAAATTTTAACAAATTTTGTCTACCATGGGCAATCTAGTGAATGTCGATTATAATGAATGGAAAGGATACACAAAGAACAAATTAATAATCATAAAAAAAGAAAGATTTAAAATTAACATATCTTTGTTTAATCATCCCTCCAGGTTATCATGACCTCATGCTCCCTCACGCTCCAACGAGATTTCTTCAAGCATGATTGATAAGATATGTGTTATACCTCCAAAGATATTAATACGAAAGTTTAAATTCGAGACATGCATCCTTGCTCACTACACCTTTTAAGACATTGAATTCTAATTTAACTGTTTTTACGCCTAAGATGAGATTATTATGAATTTATTGTTGGGTTCCTTGGATCAAGATATCGTCATAATGCCACATAGATAATAAATGATCAATTGATCAAATCAAATCATTCATTAACTATGAGATAAATTAACTTAAAAAATATTTTGGCTCATTTGTATGTTAAGGAGATTATTAGATTGTATGATATATCTAAACTTTCTTATAGATTTACTCCTAGATTATGAAATGAAATATGAGAAGGTATGAATTTTCAGTAAAGCTTTTCACTAACAAATAGTTGAGAAAAAAATGACTTATTAAGGTTATGGGTGCTTGATCCACCTAAAAATAACCTATTTTTGTGTACATTTCATATTCATTTTTATGTCTGTTTTTTATGATATTGCGCTTTTAAAGAAGTTATTTTGCATGTTTTTGGTTTCATGTACATGGAATGGACATTTGGAAAAATGAGGAAAAAATAGAACAAAAATGGATGTTTTTTTATGGCACCATAGCGCCACCCTTAGTGCCATTGCGCCAGTAGACGTGCTAAATGGGCGATACAATGCCCCAGATTGACACTATAGTGCCAGTAACCAACTTTCTAGAATATCCATTGAATTTGGCAGAACTTTGAAGGGGTGCTTGAAGTTTGGTGATTTTTAGTTATCTGTTAATAGGGCCAAATTCTGGTTGAAAAGATAGTCTTTTTGGAGTCTTTTTGGGGTCATCTTGAAGAATTCGGTTGTAGTCTGGTGCTTGTGTGTGTGTGCAAGTGAGAGTATTTGTTTTGTGTAAGAGTTTGGAGATTGGATTCAAGGAAACTTCAGGATTTGCTTGGGGAGTAAACATAAAGATAAGTATCTTGTATTTGAGTTTAATTTTTTGTTGTAAGAATTTGATTTCAATACAAATTATGTGTTTTTATTTTATCTCCATGAATTTTGAGTAGTTTCCTTTTTTTTCACCTTGCATATGGGAATTAATTTTTTGGAATGAGAATGATTTAAAGATCTCTTTTAATTTTTAAAACATTGTGATGGAATTTTCACCAGTTCTTCACTGACTTTACAAATTGGCCATTTGTATCTTTACAATTTGTTGTGAAACATAATGACCCGAGAGGGCTATGATTTCACAAACTAGTGACTACCACATTTTGTCTTGGGCAAAGCCATTGCGATCACTTGAGGGGAGTTCAACTAAATAGGGAGTTAACTTTTGATGGGCGTAGAATTGATATTTCTAGTGTGACAGACTAGATTCTTTTATCAATTTGGTCTAGAGTTTTTATCGTAAGGGTCCCTAGTAGGTCATGTAGAGAGGGCATGGTGGGTAATTTGGAAGTGAGAGGGCAGATTCTACTGAGCACTACTACACAAGCTGGTGAGAAACTCTAGGTTAGCCAATATTTTTTGCAAGCACCGAGAGAGGGTAAAGAATACGAATGCTCCTATTTGTCATAATACTACATTTGATTTTTAAATATTATATTCCAACACTAATTATGATCTCATCGCAAGAAGAAAGAGATTTTAATTCTTTAAGATCTTTCCAAAATTTTACTAGTCTCATTATATTTGGTTTTTATTCAATTTAGTTAATTATAACTTTAGTGTAAATTAGTGAATTTATGAAAACCAAAATTTTCAAAAATTCCAAACTAAGTCCTGATAGTAGTAGACTAGAATTAGCCTAAGGGATTTCTTACCTTGTTTCTCTATGGAATTGATACTAATGTTTAAAAAAAACCCTATATTACTTGAAATGATACATAAATTATTTTCTAAATTTTATATTATTTTTATTTTGCATACTAGCCGCTAAATATAAATTGGGTTAAGTTTTTTGGTCATCTTTTGGAAGTTGCGTAATTGTGGGTCGGATCAAGTTCTTGGTGTCGTTTTCGGGGAAGCTACAATAAAAATTTTAGTTGAACTATAAAACTTAGATTTGAAAATTATAATATTATTATATAGTGTGTTTAGTTATTATGTGTTATTTTATAAGAAAATTCAAAAATAAAAAAAAAATATTTTTGATATCTATCCTATTAGTTAAGTCTTTTAAATTTGTATGTGTAGTTCAGGAGCTCTAGACTTTGGATTATACAGCTCGAATCTATAAAGAACTTTTAAGAGGATTATGAATTAGAAAAGACTCCATGAATGTAATGTAAAAATGGTGGATCGAAAATATAATGAATATTCAGGATTAGATTATAATACTAGTAGCTTTGATAGAGTAAACCTCAATAAGGTAGCAAATTTCAAGAAGATATACTTGCTACTTTAACTTCTCAGGTTACAGATATTGCGAGGAATTTAGATCAATATGTAGAAAGTTATCCTCAAGGGCCCTCAAATATTGAGGAAAATTCATTTGGACAATTGAACGAGACTAACCGTAGAGCTACCCATAAAGGAAAAACCAAGATACAATTCCCAAACTCTGCTGCACCTAAAAGAGAAAATATTCCCTACTCCTGAGCAACCAAACCACTATAATTTCAGCCTCTGAAATTCTATAAGAAGCCCAAATTTTGGACCTAAAATCTAGACACTTTTTTAGGTCAGAAAAAAGCCTCTCCAAACTTTGAGTTAGTTCTTCCAAAAGATTACCTAAGCTCTACAAAGAAAAACCCAATCGAAATTGCCCTTTCTCGTGCAATCTAACCAACTCCTAGGCAAAATCAAACCACCATTTCAACTATAATATATCTCAGCCTGAATTCACTCTAAATTGAGCTAAGGAGGAGCTTGACAAGGACCTAACATTTGTTCTTATCAAGCTCGATTGAGGTCTCACCTCTCGAGACCCCTAATTTCTTGCTCGGGTTTGGAACATTATGAAGAAAACAATCACCTCATAACCACATAACCGTATGGATATGTTCGTATGGATGAGAAGAAGCTTTAAAAACAAATTTC